TTGTTTAAAATAAGTCTATTATCCCAAGTTATGCTCCATATAAACATTAATATTTCATGCAATTTAAACAATTTCATTTCTTCATTTAAGATAATTAATTCTTATCAAACTAAGTAAAATGATCTTAAATCAATAATATAACTTTAATTAATTAAATTTTAATTTAATAATAATTTGTTAATAAATATAATAAATTTAATCTTTTGAATCATAAATAACTTACATTATAAAACATGGAACTTATTTTTAAGTCGGTTTACTTAATAAAAAATTTTAATAGTTATTCTCAACTAAATAGTCTTAATAAAATTTATATAAATTTCCATTTTACATAAATAATTCAAAATAAAATTAATTATAAAATTAACCAACACTAGAATACGTTTGATCTTCATTTGTCAATTGTAAAATTAAATCAAATAATTATATTTTAATATGGTATTTTAATGATGAATGAACACTAATTAAATTAATCCAATGTTTATAAATTATATTTTTGATAATTATGAATGGTAATTTGGTAAGGAGAAGATGATTAAAAGGACTCAGACATCCAAGGAAGGATAGAGCAGCATTAGCTCTCAAGCCCGGCGAAGGCGAAAGCTCTAAGGCGGCCACTGCGAATGTTTTGAGAAACAAGCCTTACAGATATCATCATTGTTGCCACAATTTTCAAATGAAGAACATGATCAAACAAACGAAAAAAACAGCTATCTTAATATGTTCACAAGAGACTCAGACATCCAAGGAAGGATAAAGCAGCATTAGCTCTCAAGCCTGGCGAAGGCGAAAGCTCTCAGGCGGCCACTGCGAATGTTTCTGAGAAACAAGCCTTAAGGATATCATCATTGCGAATAGATTTTCAAATGCTAAATACCACACGAATCGAATATGAAGAAGTTAGAAGGTGAGGATCTTCAATCCGATAACGATCAAAACTTAAGTATGAAGAAGTTAGAAGGTGAAGAAGTTGAAAACAAATTTTATGTAATCGAATCAAATCAGAAATTCTAACAAAACACAAAGAATTCAACTTCATCAAAGATTCATCATCCGCTAAAACAACTATACGTACGAGAATACAAAAACGAATCGTCGATCAGAAAACAGAACAGTACATTTGAACAAATCTGACCAAATCAAGTAAAGTAGGCTTTCAGTGTGTGTAACAGTCAGATCATTGATAGTAAAATCTCACTGAAATCCGCTAAGATTATTGGAAATATCATCATAAGCATATAGAATCGAACACGCAACTCAAAATAAATAAATAAATAAATAAATAAATCCAAACAAGTCGAGAACCGACTCCACAACTCAACCAAATTCAAGAGGATGCACAAACAGCAAACATCAAAAAAGTGAAAAAATAATATGAGAATTAGAACTGAAAGGTGGAGAAAAATGCACAAAAATCTTCGGTTTTCAGAGGAAACTTGGAACTGGAGAAATGAAAGCCAAGTATGGAGGAAACGACACCTTGGGAACAAGAGGTCGAATTAGGGTTTATAGGCCATCGACTGATAAATTAGGGTTTTTCCTGTTTTCTTCCCCGCAACTTATGGGCTGGGCCGAAACATGATAAAAGTATATCTACTTGTCAGATGTAAGCTAAGCCCATTAAGAAAGGCCCACATACCAAAACTCCAAAAAAAGTTCAGTTGCGTTTGCCGGGAGTCGAACCCGGGTCTATTGCTTGGAAGGCAATTATCCTAACCGTTGGACTACAAACGCTAGATATCTAAAATTGTAGATATTAAATATTTATTTTTTCACAATATGACATGTTAAGAATAATTTTTATTTTCTTTTCATTTAAATACTTTTATGAACCTTATTATAATATATGTGGGATGAAATTACTTTCGTTTGGGCTTATTCACGTTATCTTTCTTAATGGTGTAGTGCTAGTTCCGCACCCTATATTTATATGCATAACGTCTTCGATAATTTGGTAAAGAAGACATGGTACTACCTGAACGAGTGCATCTACTTTCGAATGTTGTACGTATATCTCTTCTTTTCAATCTTTGACGGGTCCATCCATGACTACAGTTGGCTCATCATCGCTCATTTTCTCCAATCACGGACACCTTGAGGTTTAGTGACATGTTCTTCATCGTCCTCTAAGTTATATGCCACCACATTATTAGACAATAGTTTAAGCAATGGTGGTAGAATCGTCATAATAAGATACACAATTGCGAGTGTGTAAGGAATATTTTGTCATTTGTTGTTTGAGACAAATGTATTGCTAATGGTATTTCTTAGCTTTTACGGATTATGTGGATATCGATGAATATGGAAAGTTAGGTACTCTCATATACATATTATTTGGTACTGTGCATGAAATGAGAAATGAACGAAATCCTTAATTACTTGAAATATGTAATTTTAATGTATACGTCAAACCCTTTCAATGTCCCACCTATGTAATCATTTTCACTCTCATTCTACACAACACCGAAACATACTCATATGTGAGACATTTTCTACGCAAAAAAACAAAATATATATATACATAAGAAATAAAAAAATTTATTTTTCGAATAAAAAATTGCTAAATTCCGAGTTGGGATTGAAACAACTTAAATTATGACGAAAAAGCAATACATTCTTATACAAATATTCCATGATTAATACATGTATTAATTAAAGTGGATGAAATAGCATAAAATAAAAAGGTTAAAATTGTACTAATAATCCTGGAAAATTGAAAAGTTTTTTTTATTTAAGAAAATTTTAATTCAAAGGAACAACAACAATGAAAATAAACCCTTAAGAAAAAGTAAAAAAGAAGAAAAACAAAAAAAATTGTGTTTCGCGGGAGTCGAACCCGGGCCTAAACCCTTAAAAGAAAAAGTAAAAAAGAAGAAAAGCAAAAAAAATTGTGTTTCCCGGGAGTCGAACCCGGGTCTAAACCCTTAAGAAAAAGTAAAAAAGAAGAAAAACAAAAAAAATTGTGTTTCCAGGTAGTCGAACCAGGGTCTAAACCCTTAAAGAAAAAGTAAAAAAGAAGAAAAACAAAAATGAATTGCGTTTGCCGGGAGTCGAACCCGGGTCTATTGCTTGGAAGGCAATTATCCTAACCGTTGGACTACAAACGCTAGATGATTGAGAGTTTGAAACTAATTGGAAATTATATTTATTGGAAGATATTAAAACGGGCGTTTGGGCGGGAAAAAACATGGATTTTAAATACTTTTGTTTATATTTTTCTATTTTTTTATTTTTTAATTAAATTAATAAAAATACCACTAAACTCTTAAAAGTTTTAATAATATTTTTAAACTTAAAAAAAAATTCTATAAATATCTTTAAATATAGTTTGGGATGAATGAAAATCTCGTTACTTTAGTTTAACAGGATGAATGAAAATCTCGTTACTTTAGTTTAAATTTTAATGTTTAAAAAATACGTTGAACATTAAAAGGTTTTATTAATACTTTCAACTTTTACAAAAAGTTTAAAAATACACGGACAGTTGCTGTTATGTTTAAAAAGTAATAATGAAATTTTATGAATATTTTTTAAATATAATTCGTAAATAGATTTTTTTTTTTCTGCTGAACCAAGTACTATTTCTATTTATAATTAACCAAAAAAATATATAAATAATGCGTTTGCCGAGAGTCGAACCCAGGTCTGAAGGCAATTATCCTAACCGTTGGACTACAAACGCTAGATGTGCAAAATCGTTTTAAATTATTTAAATATACTTATAATTTACATATTTTTCACAATTTTGGGGAAACATTAAAGAAAAACTTCCACGTGGAAGAAAAGGAATATTTAATTTTTAATTTCATCCCATCCCGAAAATTGAATATATATAATGCAATAATATTTAAAAAAAATTGTGGATTTTTTTATTCTTTTTAATGTAAATACTTTTATTTATATACATATTTAAAAAATATTCTATCAACATCAATATTTTAAATTTAAATATTTGGTATTCATTGTTTCAGAAGTTTCAATTTAATTTATCATATCATTTTTATCAATAATTATTAAATTTAACTAATGGTAAGTTTACATGGCATAATATGGAGCGAATTTTAATATAGTTATAAAATGATTTAACTCTTAGTTGTAAAATAATTATAAAACAATTCAAATGTCAAGTTATGATTGGTTTGCTACGTTCATATTGAAAGTCATTTAAATATTTACTCATTGATATTAACGATCGGTCTTCTAATTCTTAGCTTAAGTCGCTACTACATGTATGACGTGATGTTAATTTTAAAAGAAATCAACAACTATAATTTTTTTTAATCTAAAATAAGGCATACACACATCATTCAAACGGTTTCTTTGGGATCTCGAGAAATACCTTTAAACGAAGGGAACATGATTTCATCATTTAGGAGGAGTATCAAAGTGTTTAACCAAAATAGTCACGTTCCTTCAACCAAATGGATCATGTGTTATGATTCTTATGTGCCGGACCTCGTGCATATACATGATTCTATAATTAAACATGCTTTGATTTGAGCAATTCTATATTGGGTGACCTCTTGAAATTTTTTCTAGAATGCATATGAGTGAGAACAAAACATATTAAAATGACTGTGTTAGTCTATGGGAATAATTTTCACTTTTAGAAAGCGAGGAGTAGGTAACCTAACCATGTTACTGGGCTATTAAGAGCCGAAAAACCTAATATCATAACTTTGTTGTATAGATAACAACTTTAAACATTACTTAACCATAGTATATCTCTCTTTTATTCAGGTATCACATTTGCAAATAAAATACATATGAGTGAGAACAAAACATGTTGAAAGAACAATGTGTTGAATTGTGAAGATAATTTTCATTGTTAGAAAGCGAGGAGTAGATAACCTAACCATGTTACTGAGCCATTAGGTGCAGAAGTACCTAATAATATCATAGCTTTGTTATATAGATAGTAACTTTAACCGGTTCTTAACCATCGTATATCTCTCTTTTACTCGGGTGTTACATTTTTCAAATACAACGATACCCAAAAGTTACCCAAAAGTGAATTATTATAGATGGTAAAAATTTGCAAGAATTACAACAGAAGAATGTACCTAATTCAAGTTTATGAAGTGAAAGAATTTTGGGAGACAAAAAAAAAATTAAGTGTTTAAGGGAATGTGAATGAACCTCCAATTTGGTTAGTTCCTGATGGAGGACTAATGGCTACCCAAAGAAGAGATATGGTGATAGCAATAAGCCCTGACCACACAAAAACAATGGTAGGTGTTCTTCCTCTTCTTCCCATCAGCCCTTTGGCAAAAGGGTAGAGATGAGCCAATACCCAGAAGCTAAAGAAAACGCCACCGATCAGTCGGCTCCATTGCGGTATCACACTGTATATCGTTCGGCTAAACCCGACTGCTATTGCTATTAGGTTCGTTATCATGATCGTGATTGGTGGTATCATTAGAGATGTCCATTTCACTATGTAGAGATCAGCAAACTCGTCGTCAACGTCGTCACCTCCCGATTTCGATGTCAAAGTGAACGATATTTCGATCCCAGCAACGACTTTTAGCAGACCCTGAAGTACAGCAGCAAGATGTGCACTTGTACCACCAATCAACCAGAACTGCTCATTCCTCCACCACTCTTCTAATTCAATACCAGACCATCGGATCTCGAGCACCGCAAGCATGCACAACGTTAACGTGATAACCAGAAGGTATGTAAGGAACGTGACGTTAAGCGTTTGGACGATGAACTGACCGGAGAACAGCGACAGTGCTGGTAGAAAGCAATATACTATGAGGAAGATTGAAGTGAATGGATATATCCCCACGTTTAAGTATGCTATTCTTTGTAGAAGTTTCATTCTTGGACTAGCTAGGATGGCGTTGTTGCGGGAGAAGAAGATCTCGACCGACCCGGTAGCCCATCGGAGGACTTGATGCAGCCTATCTGTTAGGTTGATCGGAGCTGTCCCACGGAAAGCGTCTCGTTTTGTTACGCAGTACACCGATTTCCATCCTCTATTATGCATCCTATATCCAGTGACCACATCTTCAGTAACAGATCCGTAAATCCATCCAACACGGTTACCCCATTCGGTCTTGTCTTCGTACCAGCAAGAAATGACACTGATTGCCTCTGCAACTGTTGAAGCATCGAGGAGATCACGAGGGATCGTAAGAGCACCCGGTGGACGTCCGTTCTTCACGGCAGGGTGATCGGCCAAGGGGCGGCCTTGAAATTCAGCAACCGGGATTGAATCAATAAGGAAAGTAGAGTTCCCAAATCTCTTAGGAAACAAAGAGAGATTCATTTCTTCATCATCAGAATCACCCATTCTCAAAGCTCTGCTCTCTTCCGGTGTGCTCGCAACGGATGTATGCTTTTTTCGTCCGCCACAACAACAACTACAAAAACCAGGGTGATGCTCTTTCGATCGAGGTGGATCGAAACCATATAGGGCAACCCTTCTAAACAGACATCCTGTTCCGACGTACACTGGTCCTTGAAGACCGTCAAGAGCTCGCATGTTAACGTCGAAAAACACAGTGTTGTGATTTGCATATCGATCGGAAGGATCAATGCCCTCGAACCTTTGAGGGAATTGGACATAGCAAAGACGATCGCCTCCACGATCCATCATGAAGCACATTCCTTCTCTCATTGCTTGAGAGTTGTAGATATAGTGGTCACAATCGAGGTTGAGAATGAACGGACCATTCGACATGATTGCCGAGGCTCGAACTAGAGCATTCATCGCTCCTGCCTTCTTGTTGTGGTCATAGCCTGGTCGTTTCTCTCGAGAAACATAAACGAGTAAAGGAAGACGAATATCGACCTCGGAAGTGTCGATAAGTTTCTCATCTTCAACATTTCCATGAAGAGGTTCATCACTAGGTGGCTTCAACATCACCTATAACAAAACAAGATAGACACCTCAGTGAAAAAAACGATCGAAATCCCTATTTAAACAATGATCTTCGAGTAGGTTCGCGTCATACCTGTATGATACCGGCATGGTCACCCTTCGAGTGCTCAGACGATGGCTGCAACCAAGTCCCTGGCCAATGCGTGCCATCAGCCATCCATGTCGCTTTAGCGATTTTCACACTCTCAATCGGTTCATCAGCACCAATGTTCTGTTTCTGAAGCTTCATAGCTTTGATTTCTTCTCGTGCATGATAAGCATCCGAGCGACGACGAATAGAGTCAGGAAGTCCATTAATACGAACTTTGAACTCGTCATACTCACGCTTAACACGTCTACGATCCTTAACAAAATCTGGCTTAACTTTGTTCTTGAATGGATCTCTTTTCAAACTAAAATAAGACTCGGGATTGCGCGGTTCGATGCCATGTTTTCGACAGAAAGGAACCCAAGTATTAGCAAAACTTGCAGCTTCAGCCATGGCCTCGAAAGTTAAAAGCGCACCTCCATCATCAGAAACATAACAAGCAAGCTTTTCAACCGGATAATCTGCAGCTAGAATCGAAAGGATCGTGTTCGCAGTTACAAGAGGCGGTTCTTTCTCGGGATCTGCAGTAGAAACAAAGATATCTATGCCCGGTAGATCAGATTTTCCGGTTGGATTACTCGGACTAGGTGTTTCGAATTTCTCCGTCAACACGTTAAGATCAGTAGCTCTATTGATGGGGCACAACTTCGGCAGCTGATCGAGCAGCCAAGAAAAAGCAAACCAAATCTCACAAACTATAGACATAGCCCACAACCAGTACGCATCGGTGTTCGGATGGCTCACTCGCCAAGCCAAGAAGAACCCGAGCACGACCATTCGAACAACGATCAAAAGTCTGTCACAACAATGTTATTCAACAATAAGTTGGATGAAATCCCATAGCATGCTAGAATATCAATACCACTTATAAACTAAGAACATACCGATACGGGCTAAGAACAGCAGCAGGAATCTTCAACTTTCGAGTTAGGGGCCGCCACGGCTTATTCATGAACTCCATAGGCTCGACTTCATCAGTATTACCATTATCAAAACCCTCATCCTTTGGCCATATAGCATTCCCATATCCATAAGTTCCTCTCGTTTCGAATAGCCATTTATTATGATCAAATTCTCCAACCCCCGTGTGGCTTCGCATCAACGCAGATTTCGTCGACTTCATCAACGACAGCCTCCTCTCCATCTTCGACATTGTGGCTGGTGGAGGAAGCGGAAGCGGTCTTCCATGTTCAACAGCAATTTCATCAAGATCTGTGTTTTTATACGGTTCTTTGCAGCCTGGACAAATCCCACCACCTAGTTTAACAGCATCGACATAGCAATCTCGACATATCTTGAAATCGCATTCACAAGGGAGTATATCATTTCCACGTTCGTCGCTCATAACCTTAGCATCACAGCCAGGTATAGAACACGAAGATCCTTTCGTACCCGCCATTTGAGGATGTGTTGCTTCAGATTCAATCACTTTGTCCATTAAATGAGCTCGTGTTATGTTATTGAACCCACCGGTAAACAGCGAATTCGATACGTATTGTTCTTCAACCTTCTGTGAGATTGAAGGATCCATTGGTTGATTATCAGGCGTTGGAGGAATGTGCACAGTATAGTTCATAAAGTCACCACTCCCAAGCTCGCTATCGAGATCATCCCTCGAGTAGCTAATATAGCGACCGGAGGAGGTTCTCCGACCGAATGTCACAGTAGGTGGAAGAGGAGGCTTCTGTGCTTCAGATGCATCAGAAGCTGTTGACAAATTTGAACGGTTTGGCTTGAATGACTTCGATGCCATTGTCAAACGCAATACAAGTTCTTAAGTTAAATCCAGCAGCTGCATAACAAAAAACAACATCTAATGTCCGAAAACGCCACAAACAGATCAAAATCAAACAATGATTCATAATGCATTGTATGATCGAACAATCTCAAACCCCAAAAGAAAACACAGGTTTATAAACGGATTCAATAAACATACCTCCTCAGCGAAGAGTAGAAGAAACCCACTTCAGAGAAGCCTAAAACTGGAACAATCGGAGCAGATAGCCGGAAAAATCTTGCTCCAAATGGATGGATTAGAAGAAACCCACTTCAGAGAAGCCAAAAACTGGAAGAATCGGAACAGATAGCAAGAAAAATCTTGCCCAAATGGATAGATTAGGAGAAACCCACTTCAAAGAAGCCTAAAACTAGAACAATCGGAACAGATAGCCAGAAAAATGTTGCACCAAATGGATGAACTCAAGGGCTTCACCATTGCCCCATTGAGAACGGAAAAGCAGAGAAAAAGAGAATGAGGGTTGATCGTGAGGAGGACTAAGAGCACTAATAGGGCATGATTGAAGGAAAAAGAAGAAATAGTCAAGATTGCCAACACTAATCGACCATGATTCCAGGGTATCCTTGAATTATTCCATTCCCATATCAATTTTATATACAAAAAATGAGAAGAAACGTCACCGATGGAGGAAGCTTCAGGTGGGCTCAATGAAAACAGAGGTGATGCTCTGTTTTTTGAGAATTAAGAAACAGTAATGGCGGAGATGAGTTTGATTCGGGTTCGAACCATATGGATTCCGTGAAGATTTGGGTTTGAATATTAAATTAGAGGAAGGTAGTGAAGGAGGGCATGGAAGAAGTCGTGAGATTTCTCTATCAATGGTAGGTTTCACTGTGATGCAGACAACGTGGAGAGAAAAGTGGACTTTTACTACGCGGAGGGAGAAACAGAGCAAAGGAAAGAACAAGAAAAAAAAAAAAAAAAAAAAAAAAAAA